AGTCATCCATAACAGTTGGAATTTACTTCTTTTAAGCTTCTGATAATGTTGATAGTTGACCTCCTCCCATGAATCACAAATGTTCTTAATGGCCTCTAGGCTGGTGAATCTTTTTCAGAAGGTTTTCAATTTAATTTGCCCAGATATATCAGAGAAATGCTACCTGTGGCAGCTATTGTCTTAAGAAATGCATTTCTGAAATAATAAGACTTATAAGTCCAAACTTCCTGATCTGTGGGCTGCAGAATGGATGTTGTATTAGCACACATTGAAACGACATGAATTTCCTTATATATCTTTGGGTGGCTAGAAGCATTGCCAATGAGCAGTAATTAATTTTAGGCCTTTTTTTTCAACTTTTATCTTAGGTTTAGGAAGTATCTGTATAGGTTTGTTACATGAGTAAGTTACATGTTGCTGAGGTTTGCTGCAAGAATGACCCCATCATGTAGGTAGCGAGCATAGTACCCGATTGGTAGTTTTTCAAACCCCACCCCTCTCCAACTCTCCCTGCTTTGGTAGTCCATAGTGTCTATTGTTCCCATCTTTATATCCATTTATTCTTAATGTTTAGTTCCCACTTATAAGTGAGAATATGTGGTATTTGGTTTTCTATTTTGAATCATATCATTTTGAAAGAAACCTGTTTTTCTGAGGATTAAATCTCAACAGTGGGCTTAAAATATTCAGTAAGTCATGCTAAAAACAGATGTGTTTTCATACAGGCTTTGCTATCCCATTTATAGAGGATAGGTGCAGCAGGGTTAGCATACTTCTTAAAGTTCCTAGAAGTTTTGGAATGATAAATTAGTATTAATTTCTATTTAAAGTCAACAGCTATCTGAGTCCCTAACAAGAATCAGACTATCCTTTGAAGCTTTGGAGCAAGACATTGACATCTCCTTTTTGGCTATGAAATTCCTAGATAGCATCTTCTTCCAAAAGAAGGTTGTTTTATCTGCATGAAAAATCTGTTTAGATTTTCATAAACTATCTCTACTAGATTTGCATAACTTGCCACATCTTCTCTATCAGCACCTGCTGCTCTACCTTTCACCTTCATGCTATGGAGATGGCTTCTTTCCTGAAACTTTGTGAAGCAAGTTCTGCTAGCCTGCAACTTTTATTCAGCAGCTTCCTCACCTCTCTGATGCTTCATAGAATTGAAGAGCTAGGGCCTTGCTCCGGATCAGGATTTGGCTTAAGATAACGAGGTGGCTGGTTTGATCATCTGTGCTGACCACCCATCTTTCTCCATATTAGTAATAATGCTGTTTTGCTTTCTTATCCTTCGTAGAGACTTAGACTCCCACACAATAACAGTGGGAGACTTTAACACCCCACTGACAATACTAGACAGGTCATGGAAGCAGAAAATTAATAAAGTTATTTAGTACCTGAACTGAGCACTGGATCAAATAGACCTGATAGACATCTACAGAACTCTCCAACACAAAACAACAGAATATACATTATTCTCATCACATGGCACATACTCTAAAATCAGTCACATAATTTGAAGTAAAACACTCCTCAGCAAATGCAAAAGAACTGAAATCATGAACAGTCTCTCAAACTACAAGGTAATCAAATTAGAAACCAAAACTAAGAAATTCACTCGAAACAATACAATTACATGGAAACTGAATAACCTGTTCCTGAATGACTTGTGGGTAAATAATGAAATTACGGCAGAAATAAAAGTTTTTTGAAACTAATAAGATCAAATATACAACATACTGGAATCTCTGGGACACAGCTACAACAGTGTTAAGAGGAATTATATTTTTTTAATCTGGGCATTTAGTGCTATAAATGTTTAGCGCTATAAATTTAGTGCTATAAATGCCCACATCAAAAAGTTGCAAGGATCTCAATGTAACAACCTAACATCACAACTAAAAGAACTGGAGAATCAAGAGCAAACCAGTTCCAAAGTTAGCAGAAGACAATAAATAACCAAAATAGGAACTGAACTGAAGGAAATTGAGACACCAAAAACCATTCAAAAGGTCAACTAGGCCGGGCATGGTGGCTCACGCCTATAATCTCAGCACTTTGGGAGGCCGAGGTGGGCGGATCACGAGGCCAGAAGATCGAGACCATCCTGGCTAACACGGTGAAACCCCGTTTCTACCCAAAATACGAAAAATTAGCCGGGTATTATGGGGGGTGCCTGTAGTCCCAGCTACTCGGGAGGCTGAGGCAGGAGAATGGCGTGAACCCGGGAGGCGGAGCTTGAAGTGAGCCGAGATCGCCGCCACTGAGTTGCAGCCTGGGCGATAGAGCGAAATTCTGTCTCAAAAAAAAAAAAAAGATATGCACTATCTAGACTGATAAAGAAGAAAATAGAGAAGATCCAAATAAACACAATCAGAAATGACAAGTGGGATATTACTACTGACCCTCAGAAATACAAATAACCATCAGAGAATATTACAAACACCTCTCTTCACGTAAACTAGAAAATGTAGGAGAAATGAAAATAATTCTGGACACATGCACCCTCCCAAGACTGAACCAGGAAGAAACTGAGTCCTTAAGCAGACCAGTAATGAGCTCCGAAAAAGCCCAGGAACAGACAGATTCACAGGTGAATTCTACTAGATGTACAAGAAAGAACTGGTAGCATTCCTGCTGAACTATCCCAAACATTGAGGAGGAGGAATTCCTCCCTAACTCATTCTTTGAGGCCAGCATCATCGTGATACCAAAACCTGGCAAAGACACACACAAAGAGAAAACTTCAGGCCAATATCCTGATGAACAGTGGTGCAAAAATCCTCAAAAAAATACTGGCACACCAAATCCAGCAGCACACTAAAATGCATCCACCACAATGAAGTAGGATTTATCCCGAGGATGGAAGTTTGGTTCCACATACACAAATCAATAAATGTGATTCATCACATAAATAGAAATAAAGACAAAAACCACATGATTATCTCAATAGATGTAAAAATTGCTTTTGATAAAATTAGACACCTGAATGTTCAAAACTCTCAGTAGTCTAGGTATAAAAGAAACATACCTCAAAATAATAAGAACTATCTATGACAAACCCACAACCAACCTCTTACTGAGTGGACAAAAGCTGGACTCCTATACAACATAGTATTGGAAGTCCTGCTCAGGCAATCAGGCAAGAGAAGGAAATAAAGGAGATTCAAATAGGAAGACAAGAAGTCAAACTATCCCTGCTTGTAGATGACATGATCCTATATCTAGAAAATTCCAGAGTCTCAGTCCACAAATCCTCAAGCTGATAAACAACTCCAGCAAAGTCTCAGGATCCAAAATCAATACGCAAAAATCACTACACTCCTCTACACCAACAACAGACAAGCCCAACGCCAAATCAGGAATCCAATCCCAGTCACAATTGCTACAAAACAGTAAAAATACCTAGGAATAGAGCTAACCAGGGAGATGAAAGACCTCCACAAGGAGAATTACAAAACACTACTGAAAGAAATCAGAAATGACACAAACAAATGGAAAAACATTCCATGCTCAAGGATATTGTTTTCATGTTCCACTATTAAGATATGAGCTCTAAGTTTTGTTTTGTTTTGTAGTTCGACTTTATCAGTTTGAGAATGTTCTTTTCTGTTGATAGTGTGAATACTTTTTGCCTTTAATGGATGTTTGATTCTATTAAATGACATTATCTTTCACTTGTAAAATATAGTTTAAAAGTACCACAAATGCACGTAAATATTTTAATGATTAAGTGTCATGTAATTAATAGTAGTTAAACTGGTGTTCAAGTCCAAGTTCAACTACGATAAGAAAGTACCACACAGTGAGGAATTTACAAAGAATAGAAGTTAATTTCTCTCACTCCAAAAAAATAGCACCAGCAGCTGGCCAGTGTTATCCCATGGCAGGAGACATCACACGATGAGGAAGCATGGGCACATGCTTTCGAGAGAGAGGGAACGAGAGAGGGAGAGAGAGAGAGAGAGGAACGAGGCCAGGCTTATCAGGAGTGCACTCCCTTGAGAACTCACTTACTCCCATGATAATGACATTAATCCATTTATGAGGTCTCTCAAGGTCTAATTACCTCTAAAAGACCCCACATCTTAATACTATTAAAATGGCAATGTTTCCAACACATAAAATTTTGGGGGACACATTCTAACCATAGCACATAGTACATTGTAAAGGTGATGAATTATAATTGCTATTGAGGTCATCGGTTAATTTGATTTTGTTTTACATTTAGACCTTGAGCATGTTTACAAATTATTTCCATGGATGAATATTTCAACCTGGGAGAATCATCCATCTTTATCACTTAGAAACATACTTTTATTTGGAAAGAAAAAGACTATTAAGCATATTTTTATTTGAAGTTACATTGTATTATTTCTTCGCAAATAATCAAGGATTCTTTACCATGGTATTCCTTACCAACTGCACTCCATATCTGCTTTCTTATTTGGCAAACTGTACTCGTGTTTCACAATCTAATAAATGGCCATGCATCTGTGAAATTATTTGTAACTCTGTTTCAGGCACAACTGAGGTTGTCTCATATGTGCTTCCAAGGCTACTTGAGATATCAAATAAAACCACAGGAATCACGAATCTTCCAACCTGTTAATGACTCAAATAATATAGGCAAAATTAATACCCTTTCTCTTCTGCATCAAGTATATTTTGGTTTTTGAATAACAGACAAGTTGACAATTTGTGTAACATATATAGAAACATTATTTTGCCTTTTTGGTGTTTTTACTGTTCTGTGCACAGAAAATTGCTTACATGACTAACTTATTCTTCAAACTGCTATGCCCCATATATTCATATTCCAGACTTATTTACAGTAAAGAATTTGGACACATTTGGTATGTTTTACCCAAATCCTTTTACATATAGAAACTTTCTGTTATCTATGCCGTTAGCATGTTTACAAAGACTCTTAGGGGAGGACTTGCAGATAATTTATTCACTTGGGCCTCCTTTGGGGTATAAGTTATACATCAACTTACCATTAACCTTTTCTTTATTCCTCTCCAATTTGCACCATAGGTTAGTGGTTGGGAGCATTGGTTTCGGTGTCAAATCGTGTTATATAAAATATAAACCATGAAGACTTTCTAACAATCTTGAAGAAGCTTCTTTAACCTCTGTATGTTTCAGTTTCCTCATCTGTAAAACAGATAAAATATTTGTCTGTATTCGACTTATTTTGACAATTAAATATGATAAAGTAAATAAAAATTCAGTTTATGATTGCCTATTAATACAGCACAGATCACACTGAATTGTATATATTTATAAATATACGTCTTTCTATTTTCTTATCAAGTTACTAGCAAATTTTACAAAAGGAAGAAACAGCATCTTTTTGTTCTTTTTTCTAAGTATTGGTGCAATGTCATTTACAAAATAAGTTAGCTTAAAATCTAAGTGGAAGAAGGTGAAACGTCTTGTGTGTTAAGCTTTAAGTTTAGCAACTCAAGAAACCCTTGATATTGTGAACTTGATAGATTTTTACATAGTATACTTAAAATGTAGTTTTGTTATAAATGTTTGAAATATCACATGATGCCAACTGTGCTTATTTCTTACATATATATTTCCTAATGATTTTTTATTTTAAAATATAGATTGCGCACATTGGAAATAGAGACATAAATTTACACCTTCTATAGGTAATCATTCATCATTAACAACTAAGTGATTTATTAGCAAGAGCTATATAAATGCTTGTTATAAAGAATCGATTGGCAGTGAAATAAGTCTATTTTACTCTTCATCATGTATGTTTACCAAAATGCAATAATTTTTTATTTCATACTTAATAATTTCCTGATATTCATTTGTCATATTTTTAGTTAACTATTATATTTCTCAGAAATATATGACATTGAAACTTCAAAATCTAGGACAAAGAAATATTCAGTAGCTTTGAAATATCCAGTATTTATCTCATCCATTCTGTATCTTTCTATCAAAAATATTTTTTTTTAATCAGAATTTCTGTCAAAGAAATGCATTGGATACCTGTTTCTGCTTAGGCAGGGCATAAAAGAAGACTCTTAGGATTTAGTTAGAAATCCACAGCTAGCATCACCCTACTGAGGAATTACTCTTGCTAATACTACCAATGACTTATAGAGAAACACATTGAATATTTCTCTGTGTCTCTCTTATTCAACATTTCTCCATCATTTCATACAGTTGTCCACTAAACATTGGAAATTTATTTTGTCAGTTGAGTCCAAACTGAGAAATAACTCATTCTTATTGCTTGCCATCTAGGTCTCCACTTCATCATCAATTTTCGTCTTTTTCTCTGATTGCTCATTTTCATTGTTCTAGGATCTTTCAGTTTCTTCTGTGCTTTAAATATTTGACTTTTTGAAGTTCTCTTTAGGCTCAAATTTCTTGCTGTCCTCCTTTTGCAATCTCATCCATATTAATGGCTTTAATTACTACACATACGTCAATGATTCAAATGATTCAATGACACATTAATAAGGAGGTTTTTCCAGCCCTTCTCTGAGCTCTCTCTCTCTCTCTTTCTCTCTCTCTCTCTCTCTCTTTCTGTCTCTCTCTCTCTCTTTCTTTCTCTTTCTCACACACATACACACACACACACACACACACACACACACTTGCTACCTAGCGGTACTACCTATTGTGCATTTCCACTACATATGTCAGAAAACATTCAAATTCAAATTACATGAAACTGATCTTATCATCTCCTCTTCCTAAGGAGTCCTTCCATCTCAGTTTACTATCCTGATGGAAAGCTGGGTTATTTACCTAACTACTAAGACTATATCCTTTTTCCCTTTCCTGAAACCTATCTCCAAAAAAATTGCTAAATCCTATTTTTATATTTTTACTCTTTAATACCCTTTTCCATCACTGTATATCATACCTTATGTTGGCCCTTGTCATTGATATGGTCAACATCTTCTGTTTGTCCTTTTTGTATCCAGCCTCACCTTCCTTCTTTACCATGGTACCAAATGGATTTTTCTAAAATACAAATGCATTTATGCTATTATGTCTATTTGCATATTTAAATGTTTGTCACTTTTAGGATAAAATCTAACACCATTAGTCATCTTAGATCAACTAGTACCAGCTCTTTAACCAAACATCTCCAAGTTGAACTTACACATCTGCTGGCTGTCTGCTTACCTAATGAATATATCTAGGTTGTTTTTGAAGAATTTCTCACTAGGAAGCAGCACATTCTTTTACTTTATGATGCCATTTAAATCCATGAATTCTAAACAATAAAGTAAAAACTGAGATGAATTAATTTTTAATTTTTAGAAATCAGAATTTTAATAATATGAGAAGCAACATAGAGTAGTGATTAAGGACACAGATGTGAATCAAACAGATAAGAAAATCTTATTTGCCCTTTACTTCTTGGGTTACCTTGGACAATCTACCAAAACACTTTGCAACTCAGTTTTTACTTCTATAGAGTGGGTAAAAATTGTAAGCAAAATGATTCCCTTAAAAGAATTTGCTAAAAGCCAATTCCTGAAAATAACATTTTCCAAAGAGAAAATTTGTTAAAATTTATTTGGGAAAAAATCAACTTGCAAAAATACCATTGCGTGGATAATTTAACAGATATAATTGGATTGTTTATCTATGTCTCATTCATTTTAAATGGCTTAATGCCACTTTCTATTGTTTCGAATCTGAGATGTTTAGTACCATCCTTAATTTTATTTCTCATAAATAAAAATATACATCACAATTAAGTTAAATTACCTAGGATAAACCAGATGTATTAAAATTCCATGCCTCTACCAGAGAACAGTTTGAGAATGCCAACTAGAAGCATTTTACAGGTGAAAAAGAAACTGTTAAACGCAGGTTAAAAAAAAATGGCAATATGCTATCTGTTTTGTAATTCAAATTTGATATAATTTAATTGCAGATAGAAGATAAAAGATTAAAAATTTAGTTAAATCATAAAAACGACAAAGTTGGAAGATAAAGTTTGGCAAGACTAAATCATACAGAGGACTAAACGTAATTACTGACTAAAAATTCCCATAAAAATGATTTTTAAAAAAGATGAAATATATTCATTGTAAATAATATTCTTAAATTTATTATTTCAATATCTCATAATATATTGCTTATAATTGTACTTCATATTCTTGCTGCTGTATCTCTAGTTTTTGTTAAAACCATTTTTGGTAAAGTAGTAAGTATTTTAATTTAACAAATTTGGAAAATTGAAAATCTACAAACTAATCATTAGCTAATTGGATCTTCAGCAAATTGGTCACTTGGCGAATTGAATATTGGAGAATTTGATATCAGCAATGTGAAATAACTTAAATCATACATATAATTCATGGTAAGGAAAATGTGATTATGCATGCAAATTTTTGCCACATAATATATATCTAGCATTAGTAGCCATTGATACAGATTTCTCATAATTATTTTATTTTCCATCATTATTTTTGTTAGCACAAGCGATTGTTATATTCTTGTCTCTGCCTAACTTTGCAACTTCTCTTGTTACTATGTATTAAATTTTATGAGCTGTTCAGAAGATCGTTACATTGGAGCTGATCTTCTTCTTTTTTTTTTTTTTGAGATGGAGTCTCGCTCTGTGCCCCAGGCTGGAGTGCAGCGGCGCAATTTCGGCTCACTGCAAGCTCCGCCTCCCAGGTTCACACCATTCTCCTGCCTCAGCCTCCTGAGTAGCTGGGACTACAGGCGCCCGCCACCGCGCCCGGCTAATTTTTTGTATTTTTAGTAGAGACGGGGTTTCACCGTGTTAGCCAGGATGGTCTCGATCTCCTGACCTTGTGATCCGCCCGCCTCGGCATCCCAAAGTGCTGAGATTACAGGCGTGAGCCACCGCGCCCGGCCGGAGCTGATCTTCTTGACTCGAAAAGAACAACTTTATTGGACCTCACTGTGCAAATATGTAAGGTACGTAAAACATCCCACCTTGACAGAGTGTTACATTAGGACTTGTTCTGGTGTTCAGTAGAAACTTTCTGTCATGATATCCTTACGGGAAAAGATAGAACCTTTTGCATAATAAGCCAATTGACTTTTTGTGAAAGAAGTGATCAAAATCAGATACCCAGTGCTTTATGTTGAAAAACAAAGGGTGGCCCTGGATAAGGCTTATTGGAAGAATAGGGGAAAATGGACACCAGTGGTCCCAATAAGAACTCAACAAGATGGGGTCTAAGTTTTGAACTAATGAACAGAACTCAACACATAGACAGACAGATTTGGATTGAAATGGAAGATTTGGGCACATCATACTTTAATTCTGCAGATCTAGCACCCTGACAGAGTGACACGATTTAGAAATAATGGCAGAACTTGTTGGAAAAGCAAACTAACATCTTGCACTAATCAACCCAATTGGTCTCTTCCATCACATAGTATTATTAGAGCATTACAGAGTGAGAGGGAGATTTCCCCCGGCATATTCAAATCAAGATAACGAAACAGATGAAAGATTGAGTCATTTTCTGTATGTTCACTAGGAGAAACAACTTTATTCCTGATTTTTGTAAAACCCTGACAGTCATTGACAGATTTAATTTTATAAAACTAGTATTGATTCATTATTAACAGATTACTAATATCCTTGGTAAACTCATTTACTTTACTTACTCGGTGTGTTTGTGTGTGTGTGTGTGTGTGTGCGTGCCTGTAATTTGGTAATAACAAAGTTCTGAAATTTGTACTTCTTGCAACGAAAATTTAAAAGTATTTTTTTTCCTGAATCATTTTTTTCTAATCTTTATTTTACAGATTACATTCCCATTGAGGCAAGCAAATGGATCTAGCCACAGCTCTGACGATACTGCTTTGCTGATAACGGTACCTCCCATTAGTCTGTTGCACCAAGGTGCACGTTCTTCAGTTTACATAGTGGATTTCATCATTCTACTAGAAAGCTTCCACTTTGCTTCTGATTCAGTTTCAGTTTCCAAACCAGGTGCTTTGCCCCTCACTGACTGTTGTGGATAATCTCTAGTTTTTCGTCAAGATTCTAAATTTAGTTTGGCTTTTATTGGCCACCATTTTAATTCCCACTTTTTGTTTTGGTGCTGTTGATTGTATAATCCAACCATCTTTACCTTTCAATGTTTGTGGATTTCTTTTTTCCTGTTTGTCTTGAGCATTCTGATTTCTCCTAACCTTTGAGTCACCTGCCTCTGTTTTACCCTGTCAATGAATTATGGTTTAGTCAAGTGGAAAGACAAGCTCCTGTCACTGCCTATAGCACTGCCTAGTTTCCTTCCAATTATCAATAAAATTCTTTCTTATTAGCTTTCTTCTGTTCCACTATGAGCTCAAGTAATTTACAACAATAAAACAAGACAAAAATAATTAACATTCATGAGAATAAAGAGCAGCCACTAAATCATGAAGTTATCAGGATAAGTATGCCTTTGAGATGGTCTGTGCCTCTCTGACCTTCTGTTCTGGAACTGATGTACCCAATCAGTCAATTTTACTGATACACAACAAATTATGTTCTATATTTTTTTCAAACCATTGCTGAAATTTGAACACCGAGGCTACCAACTTCTCTCTCTGTACTTTTTGCTTAAATTGGAAAAAATTAATATTTTGCTCTTCTCAAAAAAGGAAGATAATTTTCCTCTTTCTTACAACAATCTTTATATTTTTAGTTCTTTCTGTATCTATATCTTGCCATTTTTTCTATCTTTTTTCTGTTTCATTTTTGAATAATTTATGTTTATTAGTTAGTCAAAACTTTTAATACATTTACTACATTTAAGCTCACCTAATTCAAAAATTCATATTTATTATCAACAGAGGGAAACTTTGTAACTTTAAAAAAAATTAGCTTGGAAATGGAGATCTCTGATTTCTAACATAAGAATCTGCCTGATTAAAATAGCAATTGTAAGGACCTGACTGAATGTGTTTTTGAATAAGAACTTAAATGATACAAGATTGATTGCTTCTGGCCTGCCAAGAGCTTTATCATCTCTCAAGACAGTTGAAGGACTCTGAGTGCACAAGATTTCCTCCCTCATATCTCCAAAGTAAATAGAAAATCTCCATAGAAATACATAAATATACCAAATAAATATGTGAGGAAATGTTTTATGTGCTGAAAATAAGATGGAAATAAATTTAATTTTGAAACTTCAGCTTGACCTGCAATATAAATGAACAATTATTAAAGAAAACAACTACAGTATAATGCAGAATGGAGAACTTCAGTTCTAAACTCCCCCAGATTTCCACAGCCTACTCTAGATTTTAAGGTTCATCTATCCTATGAATAGAAAATATTTTCTGAGCAAATTACTGTAACTTTCTCTGTTGCTTTACTTATCCATTGCTACTTAGCAAATCACTCTATAACTTTGCAGCTAAATACACCAATTTATTATGTTTGTTGGGTCTGCATGGTCACTGGACTTGGCAGGTGATTCTAATTTTTGGTGTCTCAGGAAATTGAGGTCAGATAGTGGCTAGGGCTACAAATAGCAGAAGGCTCAACTGAATGGTTTTTTCACATGGCTGGCAGATGAAGCTTCCTGACATCTGGAAGTTCAGCTGGGGCTGTTGGCAGGAACATCTACACTTGGTCTATCAAATGGCTTGGGCTTCTTACAGTTTGGCAGCTGGGTTCTGAGAGGGAATATCTGAAAAGCAAGTGTTCCAAGAGGCCCAGTGGAAGTCGGAAGGCTTATGACCCAGACATGGTAATCACACTGAGTCTGTCCCATCACATTCTACTGGTCAAATCAACTCACAAGCCCAGCCCAGTTTCAAGGAGAGGGGAAATAGATGCCACTTCCCAATGCAGATGTTGCAAATCATCTGTGGTCATGTATAATAAACCACAGTCTGCCACAATTATTTGTATTCCTTGGGCATGGAATAGACACTTATCTCCTCTCACAGTTCCTAGAAGCTTCATCTATAATATCGAGACCAGACTTGAGGACCAGCAGCTCATTATCTTACATCCAGATATGGAT